ATCTCAACCCAATAGAACTCCTATGGGAGATTTTGAATCCATGTTTTAGGGGGTGCCATCATCAAAACACCAGATATATATTTTGGAACAGCGATGTTCACTCACTGGAGGTCCAGAGACTTGGATGATTAAAATCCAAGAGACACTGAAGCTGCTCTGGTGGCACATGATGGTCCAAACACCTTGCTAAGACACTTGAAGTTTGTTTTTTTTCTTATAATTTGGTACATGTTTGTGTTTAATACATTTCCACGCCTTCTTGTACGATACATTTGCAATCCCCGGAAAAAAATCCATACTGATTTTGTTGATCCTCTGACTTTTCTTCTGGCGCCCCCATAAAGTTCACATTTGTATTGAAGCCTAATAACTGTGGTGATCCCCTGACTTTTCCATTAGTAACACTCCTCCAATGAAACACCACAACATTCATGGCGTAGGTTAACATATTCAGAGTTCCCACATGATGAATTCTACTGCTTTGGAAATGCTTGTGTTTTCCTCGAACATCACCATGTGGTTGACTTTTGTGGGTCTTAGTGAAATATGTCAACAACTAAAGCCGTGCACGTTGCTTCATGATGGCTAATTGTGATACAGATGTTTATGTCCCCCTCTGAATGTAATTGTAATAACTTTGCCACTAAGAAGTCAGAATTCCAATTTATCCAACACTTAGGTTCTAAAAACTAAGTAGCCTCTTGAACTGAAATGCTGAACATGATCATCTTTCAACAGGCTTTTCAGTGTAGAAACATGGTGTGATCATCTGCCATCTTTGTTGTAGGCCAAACTAGCTTCAACTGTGATTTGAACTCCAAGTGCACCAAATACTTAACAAATAGTTGTTGTTATGGTGCATAAGTCCAGTTCTGTGAGTACACAGATAATAAGAATAATGGAGGGTTTGTTATGTTAGCCCGTATGGGGAATTTTATGTTGCTGATGGCAATACTGAAGGATGCTGTTTGACAAGGATAGTGACTGGACAGAAAACTGGCACTTATCTTGGTTTAACCAATCAACATTTTGCTCTCTGGGTTGAACTGAGTCTGCTCAGCAGTTTTATCAGAAGTACCTAACCAGGTAATTTTGTGTAAATTGGCTTTTTCCACCTTCTTAGCATTAGCATGTTAGCTTAGTGACATTTAGCTCCAAGCACTGCTGTGCCTCAGTACAGCCTCACAGAGCTGCTGACATGGATATGGACTCTTAGGCTTGTTTATACATATACATTGGGTGCAATTTGGGGTTTGGTGTGTTGCCCAAGATCTAAATACAGTCATAGCTTTCGTTCAAAGTAAATCACCAACTTGTGATTATGAAGTTTTGTCTTTAACCGTTGGTGCAGCTACCCAGTTTTTGGGAAACACACTTTCTTTCATATGTCGTTTTTTTTTTTTTTTTCCCCGTTGTCTTTCTCAGAAAATGACACTCCCTCCCAATTATTTTCACGCCTGCTCATTTGCAGAGCTTTATGCTTCATTATTTTGACAGCCAATTTGCTTATACTTATAGCCAACCATTTTTTCTCAGAAATCTCTCTTCATTCCCTGATTGCCACTTTCCTTTTACCACTACATTTTGTCCCTTTTTTTTTCTTCCTCGTTCTCTCTCATCTTCCTCACCCCTCCTTCCTTATCCCCTCACCCTGCATTCTCTCTCTTTCTTTGCTTGAGGTTTTGATCTTTCTTTCCTCCCTCCTGCAGTCCCTTTTTCTTTCCTCTCCACAGTTTCCACCCAGACCTTTCACCCTGTCAACCCATATATCCTTCGTCCTTTTCGCTCTCTCTCTCTCCTTCCCACTTTTCTCCTGTTTTCTTCAAGTCCTCCCCTTGTTTCCTCTGACAGCACCGCATCCCCTCTGTGTCGCCGCTTGATGCCCAACATGCATCGCATCCCTGTCGCCGATCCACCCTTCCCTCACCCTCTGTCTGGCTGCTGTCCACGCTTCCACCATCGCTGGCAGTCAGCAGTTCTGGCAGGGCCCACCGGTCTAACACCTGCCACTCTGAGCACACACTGCGAGAGAGTGTTAGTGGGGTTGTATTTATCTGTGCCGCTGCGTGTTTTGCGAAAAATCATAGATTGAAAACGAGTTCATTGCTCATTCATTGTTGCATGCGTATAAACTGGTGTTGTGTGTTTATCTCTCATCCACCTAAGTGTGAGTGTTTATGTCAGTTGGCTGTGCTCCGTTAACCCGACATAAGGCCAGACATGTGGATTAGAGGAAGATCTAGGCTGCTCGATTTCTATTCTGAGATCCCCAGAAGGAGAAGCCTGTTAATTTAGCTGCTATAAATACAGGACCTCCTCGCAGCAGGTCACTCTGAGACCCACTGTGTGGAACTGGACTATGTTGACAGCTTCTTTCACTGTGTGTGTGTGTGTTTGTGTTTGTGTGTGTGTGTGTGTGTGCATTCCTTCAAAGTTGGCGACACAGCCTCAGGTTCAGTGGTGCATGGAGGACGGTTTGTGGTGCCACCGTCGACAAGGACATTGGGACACAACCCTGAGCTGGGCTTTTTCTTATTTTTCTCTTTATCCTCTGTCTTTTTCTTTTTTCCCCTCTCGGTTTATGGTTATCAATTACAACTAATGATTTTCCTACTTGCTTCATCTATGACATGTCAAAACCCAACGAAATGTATCCTAGTTACGCATCCATTGGATCAAAATCAATACCATGAATGTTGGCTTGCTTGTTTTCCGTCTCGTGCGCCCTTAAAATGCCTTATTTTCTTTCCTAAAGGAGACACTTGCGATGAAAGAAAAGCACCATCAACTTTTCTAAAACAAACACTTGACCTTTAAAATTGAATTCTCCACTTGTACCTCACAGTCATCCAGTAGTTAAATGCTATCCATGTTCATACCGCTGCTATAATTTGGTTTCCTTTCTTTCGCAGTCAAGAGTGCAGTAATTGCTTTTCAGTTAGTGAATGTGTTTATTTAATGACAGGCTTATTCTGTGTAGCTACATTGTGTTTACCAGCCACAGTTTAGATTGGACACGACTCCAGACTGATCATTATCTTCATTATCTTCAGTCTTAATTCTTTCATTCGTGTCTTATAATTCTTCTCTCTGGCAGAATTTCTGAGGAGGAATCTCATAGTAATCACCTCCATCCAGTCTTAATATCATATTATGTTATTGTAGCAAATAATGCTGCGAAACATGTCAGCAGATTACGGACAATGCTTGAATGTTTTCGGTGGTTTGGTTTAGAATACTTGGGGAAGAATCCACCAGTTCAACAAACAAGTGCCTACGCAGCTCAGCTGGACCAGCACCCGAAAGCTATCGAGATCTATGAGCAGGTCGGGACCCATGCGATGGACAGTGCGCTCCTGAAATACAGAGGGATTCACAGCTGCCAGTGTAACTTTCACCACCCTGTAGAAATACTGTGGTCGCATCCTAAGAAAGAAGTTTAATCAGGAATTACACACAAAAAAAACTCCTTTTGTCGTGCACTGCTTCCAAGTAGGAAACTGTGTCCAAATGCAGACTTTTATGTTGGAATCGAATTCATTCCTCTCCTACTTGGTCCTCTGTTCAACAAAGTGATTCATGCTTAGAGAGAATCAGGTAGAAAGGAGAAAGAAAGTGTGGAGGAGAGAAAGAAGAAAAAAAAAAAAAAGGAAAGCTGATTGAGGACAGTGAAGTGGAACGGATGGAGTGTGAGAGAAGGTGGAAGAAAATGAGCAGTGAATGTATAAAAGCTTAAATGAAAAGAATAAAAAATTCATAAGAATCAGACGGCGGGAGAGAGATGAGAAATATCGGAGGAGAGGAGGGGAACGTGGATTTATCGGGCTGAGAGGGCTGAGAGAAGAAGGACAACAGGAGCATTAGAGATTATTTGTGAGGAGAGCGTGTGCTTGTTAATGTATCACTGGAGACGATGTGCGCACACGCACGCACACACACACACACACACACACATTTGCATACACATACTCCAGCAGTCAGGCAGATGTTGCACGCCATTTTGTTCATTTAGTCATTAAAAACACATAAGAAAAATAAGTAGTAAACATAATGTTTTCCTAATTTGTTTAACCAGTCCTTTAAAGACTATCTCACTGATGAGTAATTCCCAGATTGAAGCTGTTTATGTACAAATGAGTAATTAGTTTCAGTTTGACAAGGGACATTGGCACTAATAGCGTTTAAACCAGCTTTGCTTTTGCTCACGTCTTTCTTAAGCATTCCTCTCCCTGTCTGCAGTTCAAGATCACAACTGCAGTGTTTTGGTGCTGCTGACAGACTGAAGTAGGGCTTAAAGATCTGTTGAAACGCTAGACAGCATCACCAGAGTGAGACCTACGTGTGTTTGCCTTTGTGGATCTGTGTGCTTATGTCCACGTTCTGTGTACTCCTGCATAAGAGAAGAGTCTTTATAACCACCAGCGGGGTGGCCTTCTTGCCCCAGATAAGCCAGGTCAAATTTACTTTGATAGTATCTACTTTAGTTCCTTTGAGAAGTCTGTTTGAGGAAAGGGGCATCGCTAAGTGTGTATGCGAACATCAGTGTGTCTGGGGTTTCTCGATTGGGCTGCAGACATTAAATGTTTGACAGATTCATTCTTTATTCTTAAACTTGAGATGTGTTGCGTGGCGAGTAAGTAAGCTCGCACTAAATGATTCAAACATCTACACATCTACTCAGCGGCGGTGTGCGCTCGTTGGTACAAGGGGCAGAAGGCCACACAAACACACACACACACACACCAATGAACACAGACTTCATAATGCTTTCAGAGACACATTTCACTGATGTATCCACAAGAGATGTGCAATCCACTGCAGACTTTCTAGTTGTTGTCTCCTTGTTCTTCCCTTCATTTCTTCCCCAAATGCACGATAGGAAATTATTCCCTTTTCTTCTCCTCCTGTTTTTCAAGCACAAGATTATTTTTTTCATTATCCATCATTTGAGCTTCCATTTACTAACTCTCTGTTTTCCCCTCTCTCTTTTCCCCTTGCAGGACAGTGACATTCAGAAGAAGATTGACCATGAGATCCGGATGCGCGACGGAGCCTGCAAACTGCTGGCCGCCTGCTCCCAGAGAGACCAGGCCTTGGAGGCAGCAAAGAGCCTGCAGACTTGCAGCACTCGCATCATGGCCTACATGTCGGAGCTGCAGCGGATGAAGGAAGCTCAGGTCATGCAGAAGGTCACACGCAGATCGTCGGACGCAGGGCCAATGGACGACAGGCTCCCGTGCAAAGGGAAAGTGGCCATCTCAGGCGAGTACCAATTAAAAATGTGTATTTCTGAAAGGAGTGTGACTGCAGAGAGAGGTTAAGGGGGAATTATGTTCAGCATTTTCAAAGATTTTGAAAAAAGCTGGCACTCTGGTTAGCAAGAGTAATAAAAAGGGGAACCAGAGAGAATTTTTGCATCCTCTTAGTGTTATAATTTAATGCAGAGCTGCTCTTGTGAGGCCCTAATAAGGGGCTGTTTCATTCCTCCCCTTACCAATCAAAGTGAACATGATGGTTTGCAGCACACCACACTGCAGAGAGTTCATTCACTTCAGGGAGGAAGACAATAAGAGCAAATTTTTACTGTTGTTTTATCAGGTTTTAGAATACAATGAAGGTGAAGGAAGGCACATTAATGGGATGTGAAAGTGGTGATGTGTGTGTTTGTGGGTGGAGTGTCATGGGGGCACCGCTGTATTGTCTGGCACCTAGCTGGAGAGCATCTACACACAGTCGGTAATTAGCTGTGAATACTTTTAGCAGAGACTGAAAGGAATACGAGCAAAAAGACAAACACACAGACACACACACATCAGTTAGACAGCGATAGTGATTAACATTTTTGTGGTCTAATCCCCTGTCTGTTGTTATTACAGATCTTCGGATCCCTCTCATGTGGAAAGACACAGAGTACTTCAAGAACAAAGGAGGTGAGGAGCCCCCTCTGTATCAGTGTGAAGGAATTCATTTATGGCTTATGAATGATTTATGCCTGTAGGATTTATTAATGATCAGCTTCTGAGCGAAGCGGTCTGTGGCTTCGCACAGTTGTGAAATGGCTAATTCACAGATGTCGAATGTGGGTGAAGCTTTGTGAAATCACAGGGGCGGGTGTGGGATTCCTCAACAAAAATCATCTTTTAAAGCTTGCTGGGAGGAAAAAAAACTAATGTGGAGTTTTTTTTTTAACATGTATATATATATCTTTTTAAATATATTGACCTATAACACTCCCTCTGAAATGTGCAGATAGACCATGGAGTGTTTTTCTACTCTGTGCAACATCTATAGCAGTCCCTGGAGCTGATCTGTTGCAAGCTTTACCAGATATCTGTGTATTTACGGGAACTGTGCGTTTTTTTGTTTTCTTTTTTCAAACATGAGAAACTCCTGGCAGCACAACCTGACCCACTGTTCAGTCTTGCTGGCTTTGCCTCTTGGCTCTGAGAAGCATAAGCATGCGAGGACTGAAGTGGGTCATTATTAGTGGGGCATACTGTAAGAGAAAACAAATGAAATCTGTTGTACATTTAAGGAACGAGCCTAGTCTTGTTCTGTGGGATATTACTCTGAACTGGGTCATGCTTAAATGTCTTTATGGCATTTGAGAATTAAGTGGCGCCCTGAAAATATAGCAATAGTAATTTTTATATTGACTATTTTCCATCCCACCTGCTCGTGATAAAGTCAATGTGGGTTAACCCCTGTGTAGTCATTATAACAGTCTCAGCGCTCCGTCTCTCCCCTGGCAGCTTGAACGGAATTAATCTGCATGACCTGTGCATATAAATGAACTCAAGAGACAGGTAGTAGACTCTTAACAAAGCTTAATGAGGCTGTTAGTCAAGGTCATTAAGCACACCGAGACATAAACTGAGCCCAGGAGGCAAGGAGGAGTAAAGTGTATTGCTTTCTCGCTTGTCCAGTCATGTTTTAGCCAAGAGTGTCGATCTCGCATGTCGAATAATAAGTTCAAACATTAGGTGTCAGTGTGCCAGAGACAGGGAAACACATAAGCTGGAGCAGTCAGTGTCGGTTGTAACCAGGAATTTTTATGAGAACAGGTGAATTGAGCACCTGAATTGCTGTGCAGTAGAAGGAGAGAAGCGCACAAAGGAAGAAAGATAGCAGACCATTAACAGTCACTGTTTATATTACAACACCAATACTGAAGGTGCTATATATTTCTTACATATATTTCTCACTGTTGGTATGGATGGTGTCGCACTTCAGCTCAGGGATTTATGGATTTACACATAATCACAGTGAAACATCCCCCAAAATAACACTGCAGTTTCTTTACAAGGAATTTGCATTCATGATGCAGTTTATTTGCAATGCGCATCGAAGGCAAGCGCTGCCGTTACCCAGCTTTTATTGACCGCTATGACATTAAAGACCGTTGCGCTTTAGTTTCAACGCCCATCAGTGCTTCATAGGGATTCTAAGCACAGCTGTCCATTGAACTGAGTCTAACAACAGCACAAGTGCTTGTCAGCCCAGGTGAAGGAGCTGATCCACTTTCAAGCTTCATCTGCTCAGGTCATATGCCCTGTCTAGCCTCTGGCTCCAACACTTTGTCATAACCTACACCTCCAAGGTTCCAAGTGATGCTATTTTGGAGCTGAAAATGAGTTTTCAAGTGATAGGGTTTTTTTTTTTTTTCTTCTCTCTGTCTGTTCTGACTTTCCTTGTTGTCCTTTTGTAGAGCTTCATCGGTGCGCAGTGTTCTGCCTGCTGCAGCTGGGAGGAGAGATCTTTGACACAGACATGGTGATAGTGGACCGGACACTCACCGATATTTGCTTTGACAACACCATCGTATTGTAAGTCACCTGTCAGTCCTATAACCAAACAGCCACGCTATCTGGAATGATCGCCAAGGACTTCTGAGCAGTGGTGGAAATAGTATTGAAACTATTTAGGAAATGGTCTTTTGCAAGTGATATAGTAACAGCGTAATATCAGCCGAATGTATTTAAAGGCTCAAAATTAAACATATTCATTATGGTAAATGGTTCTATCCAGAGTATTAAATTATGGAGCCCTCAAGGTTCCCCACAAACATTGTTTAAAAAAAAAAAAAAAACAGGCTTTACGGCACACACTCTCCTGTTAGTTTAGTTGAAGGACAAGATCAGCTTCATTAATTTTGTTGCATGGTCATCTCACAGTGTGATTATGAAGGGTTTTTATTCTTTAACAGTGCATCACAGTAGCCAATTGCATGTTTTGAATGTGAAATTGAACCATTGCTAGTACAATGTTTCATCCTGACAAGTTGTGTAAGAGAAGCATAAAGTAGCATACAATTGAAATACTCTACTAAGGTACAAGTATGTCAAACGTATACTATAAGTACAGCACTTGACTAGATGCAGTCTGTTTCCACCACTGCTTTTAAATGACACTAATAATAATGATCATCATGTGTGTGCCCTTTTTACAGTAGCGAAGCCGGCCCAGGTTTCGAGCTGCGTGTGGAGCTGTATAGCTGCTGCTCAGAGGACGACTACTCTGCAGGGAGCACGCCCAGGAAACTGGCCAGCAAGCTGAGCTCTTCACTCGGGCGATCAGCGGGGAAGAAGCTCCGGGCCGCCATGGAGCCTGGACCGTGTAGTCCTGTTAGCAACGGAGGGGCAGCCCCCCTCCTGCTGCCAGTTCCCTCTGTACCGTAAGTTTGAAATAATAACCAGTATACATTTTCTACAGAGGGAGAATGGAGGAAAAAATCACATATTCATGGGGATCATTTCTCACTGTAAACATATTTAAACACTGGAAAAAAAATCCTCTCTCCTTTCTTGTGTGTTGACAGGGGCCCCAAGTACCACCTCTTAGCTCATACCACCCTGTCGCTGTCACACGTCCAGGACAGTTTTCGCACGCATGACCTCACCATTTCAGGCAACGGTGAGTGGCAGCCTCCATCAATCTGTGTCCTCCCCATCTTCCTGCTCTCTCTGCCAAAGCAGCCATCTGTCTATTTTTGTGTCCCTCTGTCACTTGCCACTGTCTCACATATTCGCTTTGCATTCTAATAATTTCCTTTTACCCAGTTCGTGGTACATGTCCTCCTCCTCCTCCTCCTCCTCCGCCCGTCCTCCCATGTTCTCTGACAGACAGCCATTGTCAAGGTCACAGTAATAAAGGCCGTGCTAGCGCAGTGACTGCTGTGTAAAGCTGTAATGATGTGGGCTAACAAGGGCCCAGACCCTCAGACAGACAGGCCCCTAGTGTTTTATTCATTGGGCCTTCAGCCTGCTGTAAAGTTTCATTGCCGTACTTCATGACACTCCCTGCAGCTGCCAGTCTTTTACACCCAAGTGCCTTGTTTTGTGCGTTAAAGGAGGGCAGTGTGACGTGGGCATGAAGTGTGTGTCTCTGTGTGTGTATGCATATGAGTGCACACGTTTGTGAGTGAACATTGAATGTCATGTGGGAATATTTTTATTTATTTATGTTGTTTGTTTTTCCTCCATCCTTCTACTCTTTCCCTGCAGAAGAGTGTTCGTACTGGCTGCCGCTCTATGGCAGCATGTGCTGCCGCCTCGCAGCGCAGCCTCACTGTATGACCCAACAGATGATGAGTGGATGTTTGAAAGTTAAGGTAAGATGGCAGGTGAGCACTAATGTGAGCTATTTCTCTTAGGTTTCAGTTTGTTTTTTTTCAGCCTTTGCCATCCTTCTCTCCTCATCTTCTCACCTATCCTTGTGTTTCTTTTATGCCACTTTTTCTGCACCTGGCAGCAGTGTGGCGGTGACCCCCAGAGCTGGACAAAAGTGTATGCCGTTCTAAAAGGAACAAGCCTTTTTTGCTACCACCGGCAAGAAGACGTGGAGGCGAACATCGAACCAGCTTTCACCATTGGCATCAACAAGGTCAGCAAAGGAGTCGCGTTTAAAAAGTGAAAAAAATCATTTCAATTGGAGTATAAACCTCTTTGAGGTTGATCCAACCTTGCAGAAAGCGTAGTTGTGCTTTTTTGGTAACGCCTACGGCATCAGCAGAATAGATGGTGAGAAACTGAGCTCGTGGATTGCTGCCAGTTTGAGTCTCACGTTAACTGGTAGGTTCTGAGCCTTTAAAATTAAATACGAAATCAGCTTTTTTCCAACTAACCATTCTCAAGCTTCCCTTGAGCAAGGTACTTAGCCCTGAGCTGGCCCCGCCGGGCTGCTCAGAGGTCAAGAGTAGAAAATTGCGGTTGTGCTCCTCAGCTTTTGAAATGTGGAAACATTCAGCAGGGCTGAAAAATAGCATGTCTGGAGAAAAAGACTAAATCTACACAGTATCTTCTAGAGTCTTTGTAAACACAGCAGCACAAAGCAGCAAACTCCATCCAATCAGGAATCATAATTCTCTCATCCCCTCATCTTTCCAGGCACCGAAGTGAAGAGTAGTCAGCCAGCCAGTCAGATTCTCAATCATCCAATTTCCTGTGTCTGTGTCTACGAATTGATGCCTGTGGGGCTTTTCATTCTTTCCATAGTGACTCATTCAGTCTGTTGTGGCCTCTGACCCTCAGCAAACAGCTGACCTCAAGTCAAGTCAGTCAAATCAGGTCTGCATGATGCTTTGTTAGTCAGCTGCAGGACTCTCCTGAAGAAGAAGGTGCGCAGTGTGACAAACGGATGGATGGTACAACACTACCATCTAGTGGTCACAAACAGACACATTTGGAGTGGAACGTAGAGGTGGGAATTGGGAGTCTGCTCCTTTTGTTGGATAATTGCTGAAGGGAAATGATTTGGAAGAGGACTAATTGGTGGCTTTATTAATGAGGACTTCTTTTCAGGGGGGACTTACAGTTTCAATTGCTATAATGATCACTTGTTGCGGCACATAATTTTGTTCATTCAGGAGTGCTGCCATTCATTCTGAGCTGTAGTCATTTTGCAACAGATTATTGTACTTTCTGTTTCACCTGTGTTTCAGGATACCAGAATACGTGCGTCAGAGAAAGACCCTCACAGTAAAGTTCAGAATATCTGTATCAGTAATCAGTATGGAGGGGAGGAGGTCACGCACACGCTGACCACCGACAGCCGCGAGGACACACATCGCTGGATGGAGGCCTTTTGGCAACACTTCTATGATATGAGTAAGTGTGTGTGTGTGTAAGATGTACACCTACTACATTCAGTCACTCAAAAGCTGCTTGAAACACTCTCACATAGTGCTGTGTATTCTCTATCTGCTGACTAGCTTGTTGAAGGTGACACTTTGTTCCAATACGCAGGCCAATGGAAGCAATGCTGTGATGACTTAATGAAAATTGAACTTCCGTCACCAAGGAAACCGGCTCCTGTCACACCAAAACAGGGCTCTCTTTACCACGAAATGGGTAAGACATCTCCCCGATTATATGACCGCGGATGTGCAATCAAAAACATATTTGGTCGCTCTTAGGTATACAGGGAAAGTAAAACAGGGAAAGAAAGCACTACTGCGGCTGCATTGCATGTGACTGTGTGTAATTTTAATTCCTTGGGCGCATGAGCATGAAGGATGCTGTCACAATTACATTTTTCTTCTCCGATATCTCAAACTCACACTCTGCTTTTCTTCTATGTTCTGTAGATAGAACGGGTCTTATCGCTGACACGCTGACTCACTCTCTGTCTTCTGTTTCTCTGTTCCTCTTTGTCCTTTTCAATTTTCCCTGTGTGTCCTGAATCCATCACTCCGTGGCATTTTCTGTTTTGCCTTTCCTTATTTCCTTGTGTAACAACATATTATTCATGATCAACACATTTTTCATCCACTCCCATCATTGATTTTATTGTTTGAAATGCCTTCATCCCTAAATGATTTTTTTTTTTAATTCTCTCATCACCTCTTTACATTCATTTCCTTAATAAACAACCCTTTTTGATTTTTGTCATGGCCATCAAAACACACAAACACTGAATTCCACCTGTTGCGTACCTCCTATCCACTCCATCCTTTCACACTCGCCCACCTTCCTCTTGGTTTTCCTAATCCTCCTTGGCAGCCCCTCTTGCCACACCCTCCTGCGAGGGTCTTCTGCTGCAGGATAACGCTGTGTCTGCTGAGATTCGTGCTCTGCTCTCGTCCTATTACAACGACAGGTGAAGTAGCAGGAGTAGGGCTCTGTATAAATTGTGTTGTGGTAAATGTTGCAATCCCAAGAGGCTGAAATGGATAAACAATCCATTCTGGATAGAATTCTGCAAATTTGAGATCCACTTTAACTCGTTGATAGTTTGTTGATTCTGCAAATCATTAAAAGACCGGATCGGTTTGTTACCGTCACATAGATAAGGAACATTAAGACACACCCAGGCTTCAGACGTTAAGTAGTTGTTGTTCCTCACGGATGTACAAGGCATGAATAGAGAACTAGACTTCAACAAAGGCTCCTTGGCTCGTAATAGGAAATGTAACACCTTAATGTGTCTGCATTTTTTTTCTCCTCGTAAACTCAAGGATACATTTAGGAATGCCATTTCACAGTTTCAGCCTGACAGTAACATTTCCTGAACTGCAAACATTTCCCTTAAACCCGTTTAGAATCCACACTTCCAGTGAGATTTGAATATTACAACATGTTGCATTTACATCAATACTTTAAGAATATTGCGAACTGTAGTACCTTCATTCCCTCTTCTAAGAAACCCATTTTTTTGATGTATTCCCAAAGACAATTGTGAATCAGGCCAAATTAAAATCCATTGGGAAAGCTGGTCCTACGCCAACTCTGCAGCGGTGCAATGATGAGTTTTGCTGCTTCTTTCTTGCAGTTATTGAGTCATCTGACGACCTGAGCAGCACTGTGTCAGACATCTTGGCTCGGAGGATGCAGGAGCTGGAGCTCCGCAGCCAACTGGGCACCTCTCCTACCTGGATGTCTGTGTTTGAGGAGAACAATGCCAAAAGCGCTGGCCGCACTCGTCACTGTACTTCTCGCCTGTCTGGCCACAGCCCCTGCACCCCTCATCGACTGCCCCGGAGTCCCGCCAGCCCTCACCGCTGCCCACAGCTGGGTCTGCTGTCCTCCGATGCAAGTCTGACCTCCGACAGCGACAGCCACTGTAGCACCAGCCCCTGCTCTCAACACCATGGCTGGCCCGAGCCTTCGTCAAGCTTCTCTCTCTTGTCATCGTCCCCCTCCCGCCTGAGGCCTCGCACTCTTTCCCTGGATGCTAAGCTCAGCACCCTTCGAGGGAGGGGATACGGAGGAGGAGGGGCCTTCCAGTGTCCGTGCCAGCCTCCCCCCTCGTCGCTGCTTGCTCCTCTCCCCATCTCCTCCCGTTCACCTCGGTCACAGCGCAGTACACAGACCACACTCTCCTGCTCCAGCTCCACCTCCAGCAACAGCTCCAGCAACAGCGAGGGCAGCCACAGCCCAGAGTCATCTGAGGGAGTCCCCTTCTCCAGGCCCTCCCCAGCTCGACGCAGCCTCAGGAACCTCAGGGCTAGACTTGATCCTCGCAACTGGCTCCAAAGTCAGGTGTGAACTTGTTTCCTGACAGATGTTAGATGCTTGCCCAAAGGCAACAATGCTATTAAACCGTGCTTTAACAGGCTTAACACATGTGAACCAAACTCAGGCAAATCTGCTAAGCTACATGCACAGCCCCGAGGAGGATGCCTCTAACCCACCTCCCGGTGGAGGACGGATCATGGAAGACCCTCCTGGGTCAAACTGGAATGTTTTCTAACACAAAAGACAAGTGACAATCACTGCAGGAATCTGTGTAAGTTGCTGAGTTGCCACAATTTTGAAGACTGTCTAAAACTAAATGGGAGGTACTTTGCTTGCTTTGAGAAATGATGATCATGCTGCTTGGGAGAAAGTGAAGCTAAAGACTTGCTCGGATACACACCACACTAAGCCTACTCTCTGTTATTTGAGATCTAATTTTGAAACTGGAAAAGGTTTTATTTTGTCCTCTGCATCAGCCACTCATATCATTTCAAGGTCATCTCTGTTAATGCACTAGCCGTATTTTGACTGGACGTTTCCTGTTGTTAAGTTAGAAAGGTTTGCAGTGTTTATGCTACGGAAGCCAGTGAGCATGAGGCAAAAAAATGAACATGCAAGAAAAAGCATAAGGTTTAATCAGTCATGAGTTTTCAAATGTTAGAAACTGTTATGTGTAGAGGGAAGGGTTGGTGTTTGTTGCCTGTACTGTGATACCTGCTTCAGTGTACTTACCTGACTATTCACAAAATACATGATCTTGATCTTTGTGGGTCTCCTAAAATGACTATGCACCATTTTGCTTTTATGCATGATTTGACTTACAGTTAAGATGTTTAACTACTTGAGGTCATTTCAGCAGTGAATCTGGTGAAAGCTTAGCCTAATGCAAGTGCTCATACTTACTGTACTGGTTACGACTGTGATCTCTTCAGGGTAAATTTTTGTGCTCTGCTCTTTACTTTTACATGTTTATCTGCACACTATTGACGGGCTGCTGTCAGATCCAGATAATAGATCCTCACAAACATAGGATAAATCCTAAATCAACTGATATTAACCAAAGTTTAAGTATTATTAAAAATCAAAGCCATACTTAGCATTCTGCTATACTGCTTCTCTGCAGTATTGTAGGTTTTCATTGTGTAGTGATCCTATAAGAAAAAAAAAAAAGTCCAATAAAATACAAAACAGCCACTAATCCAATATTATTAAATACAGAAAGAAATCCTGGAATTGATTTTGTAGTGGTTGCATTCTGGAAATAATTCTATTACATGGAGTACTTATGTGAAACTCTAGTTAAACAAATTAAATGATTTATTTACATTGCTACTGTTGTTTTCTTCTTTTAAATTATGTTATTTGTTGCCATTTATCCAACTCTATGACAAGATAACAGGATCAGATCTTATAGGAGAACCAGTGTCCCCTGTCAGTGCAGTACAGCCTCTTTTTTTTCTGTCTTTGTTTATTGTGGACTTTGGAAACAGTTGCCCTCTTGGAACTCAAGCAACCATTTTTACTTAGATATGTCAGATGCTTGAAAAAACAGCATTTGTTACTGTAAATTAATTTTTATAAGTTAACAAATAAACCTCCTCTTTTTGTCTTTTGTTACATTATTGATTTTGTTTAAAAAGAAAAAAAATGCCGCTGTATTGATACCTGATTATCATAATGTTAACAGATGATGTGCAGATCATTAACTGTTACGAATATAGATAACATTGAATGTTATAACCTTGCAAGAGTTTTCCGTGTTAGCAGGCTTTGTGTTCTGCATGTGCGCCATCCTAGAAGGCGAACAGAAGATGAGAAATGTGGAAATCTCATGTTTAAATAATATAACATTAATTATAATAAATGTTTTATCAAATAACATTTTACTTGTTTTTTTCTTTCACATCTGTTTCTATCTGGTCCAAATGAAACACTGTCTGCTGTAAATATTTCACATTGTATGCTTGTAGTTATCCATAAATTTGTCAGTGAGAAGTTGAAATAGCTTAAAATGCACAATTCCTCAATGTGAATTTCACCTTTTTAAGGATATGTGAGAACAAAACACGTAAAGCGAAACTACAACACAGGAAGATGTGAGTGTTAACACCTCATCTGTATTACTATGCACACCTTTCATATGCAGTGGGAGATGTTTCCATCAGATCAGAAAAGCACTTTAAGTACTCTACACTCTGAACATGTGATGGATCATATTCTACATCCAATTCTGTTCTGCATCTCTTTCTCTGTCCTGCAACAAATCCCGCTGGTGTTCACCTCTTATGTGAGCAACTGAACAAGCAATTTCATTTAGCGTCTGTGCTGGAGAAGAATCAAGAGAAGCAGGTAGAACAGAGACTTTATTGTCAATGTTTTGATAGCAAAGCCGTAGATTAGTCAATAGTACAAAGCACTCTTACAAACATAGGAGGTAGTCGATACCGAGTCTTCACTGAGCATTGTAGTAATATGCATAGAGGAATGCTATGGCCATAATGACTCTGTTTCAAATGCCTCAGAAGAGAACCCAAAGCTCCCTGTTTTCTGTTTGTCATGCAGAGTTGTACCATTGTTGTGCTATTGTAACTTCATATCTGCTTAAAGTATAAAAACAATACATCTAATTATATTGAGACCAACATATACATATTCATCAGTATATAAGAGAATAACACTAGTAAATACTTTATATTGTATGCTTGATATGATGCTGATTATTGACTTATGTAACCCAGTGGGGGGCATTTTACACAAAATTTGGCAATCATATGGTATGTGTTGGATTACATGAGTAAATGAACAGCGTTACATTATTAACTTTGCTCCCCTCCTTACCCTCTTTTTAATCCTTCCATACTAAAACTTTCTTTCTTTGTGCACTTGTGCTTCCTGCAGCTTCCGTAATCCCCTCTCATTAGCAGGCACTCCGTGGATTGAACGCCCGCAGTGCCATCCCAGCCAGAGTACTCCAGGCGAATGTGGAGAACTTTGCAGGGCATGTTTCAGCTCTGCTGATGTATGTGGATGCGATCCGATGAAGCCGCTTCGCCCCAAATGTGTTGTAGTGTCCTGGGAGGACTTGGTCGACCTGTTAAATGGATTTTAATATTTCATATGATGTATAGTACATGCCTCAGGCATTCCTTGATTATTGGTTGTGAGATACTCAAGCAGCAATATGCTGGATTGATTTATGTCTTAAACCTACATGTCTTAGAGAAACGTTGGTAAAATGCAGAATCTAATTGATGCAATGAATATACATTAAAAGTACATGTATTAGATACTCACATACAAACTTTTAAATACACTTGTGTCATTTCCATTCTAAATCTTTCAGATGATGGCATAAGGTGTCTTGTGCCATCAGCTCATCTGACAAAGGAAAGCTGAACTAGGAGCTGAAATGATAAGAATGTCCTCTGTGGTGTTTCAGTGTTACCTGCTCGCTGTCCACCAGCCCGACCAGACGCTCACAGCTGCTGATGTAGTCACTGACGTGGCTGTAGGGCAGCCAGTCAATCATGGCGCCGTCATACACAACGTCTCCACTGAAGAGCAACTTATTGTCACGGTCATGTAGGCAAATGCTTCCCCGAGAGTGACCAGGCATATGAAGCACTGTCAGCTGTCTGTCGCCGAGGTTGATGACATCACCTAGACCAGAAAACAGAGAGAGAGAGAGAGAGATGGTACCATATATTCAAACTCACTCACACATATAACGATAACATGACTTTTACCCTTTGGGAAGTGTGCAACAAATCCCCAGACTGATATCCAAGTTATTCATTCTTCATAATTTGTCTGATTGGAATCAAGCCAGAGATACATTTGTGTTTCCCACATGTCACCCCATGTTACCACATTGTGCAGAATCTGGAATATTCACCAAGTCACTGATTTGGTCCAGACCAGGTACAAGTTGCACAAAAGGTTGAAGCTGACACACCAAGCAATGAGATATTCCAACTGCACTGCAGCAGCGGCTCTGACACAGCAGAACAAGTCGGTGTATTGACTGACAGAGCAGAAATTACACTGCAAGAATACCGGAGAGGCTAACAGATTAAACTCCACTCCAGCAGCCAAAGCACAAATCCGACAGTATTTGTGATACAAGCTCTGTGCAGCAACTATTACTAGACTTATACAGCCACCGAAGGCGCTGCTATAACCCGGGGCAGCAGCTTTTCGAACAGTGCAGCCAGTTTGTCCAGGATCAAATCCAGATTTATTCTTTGCATTGATGTAGCTCACTGCATGCTGACCTTTGATGTCCATCCACTGTAACCTGTATATGAGACAGGGCAACATTCCACAGAAGGCTAATGAAGTTGTGTATCTTCTAAGACAACTGTGGGCAATTGCTAAATCAGCACTGTGATGTTATTACTGCTTTATGGGATGCTTTCAATAAGAGTGCAGCTGGACTCTGCTTGCTCTTCTTTCTTTGTTGGAGGTAACAGAATCCATCAAAGTCATCAGCACACAGGCTTAAAATAGAACTGCTCTGCACATATAGATGAAGAATGAGAATAGTAACTACCAGTGAAAACTGTTGACCCCCCTTAGTCACATATTTGTTTCACAAATCATCTATACTGTTTGCTGATGGTGGGATGTTTCTGTACACCTTACAGAGACCACGTCATCTTATGTAATGTGACATTTACACCTGTATAAGCGCTGCCTCTCACTTTATTTCTTGGCAGATACAGCATCCTTTGTAACATAAGCTGTGGGCACTATTCATTGTGAAACTGAGTAAAAAATAGCATCCACTGTCTCCCCCATAGGCTGTGGGTGTGTATTCATTTAGCAAGCCCTTTTTTTTTTGGTCTTCAGCCAAATTCATTGTGCAGTGAAATCTTCCTCTGAGCATAGAAACGACTCTGTACAGCGCATAATGTCCAAACCATAGCTATTGAGCCATTAAAGCCATTACAGTATCGAGCATGATGCTTATCCCTGGGTAAGTGCTTTTAGACCTTACGACCTGCTGTTTGATCACAGATCCACTCCCCCTTCCATAAATCCCATCTGCACAGGCTTCCTCTCCTACCTACCCTCCTGCAGGATGTGTGTGGGCTGCACAGCCTTCACTTTGTAGTGTCTGGCCCTCCATCCGGGACTGGGAGCCTCGGCTATCTCCCTGTCGCTGAGCCAGGTGACCGTCTCAAAGTTGTCTCCGTTGGCCAGGGCATCGACCTCCGCGCTGTGGACGCCCACCTGTTGGAACTGATGCAGCCCACCCGAGTGGTCGAAGTGGGCGTGGGTGGCGATGGCCAGCAGCGGGTTCTTCCTCTGCGGGTCTTTGCCCAGCAGCCCCTTGCCGTCGATGTAGTCCGGTAAGCTCCTCAAGCCCAGTCCCGTGTCTATCACCACGTCCTGGTGTGAGCCGCGGAGCAGCCAGATGTTAGCCCGGTTCTCCGACTGGTAGAATCGCTCCTGGATCCAGAAGAGTCCGTCTCCGAGCGACTTGTGAGCGTACCAGTCCGCTGCAGACATCCCAGTTCATGCACTCGTCGAGGTGCGCTGCAGCTGGTGTCGTGCTGTCAGGTGGATTTTCGCAGAGGTGCAGCTGGCCTTCTGGCTGGAGGTGTTTTCATTGAGGTTAATGCGATGGTGGCCGCCGACACACCCTTGCAGGAAACCAAGGAGCTGATTGGACGAGCCGATGAATGACGACAGAATAAATCGGGGTGTGATTGGCTGTAAATTAGCCACGCCTCCCCGAGCGTCACGCAGGGGCGGGGAGACTTAAAGGCACATTTACGCATGCTGAGTGTAGTGTGTGTGGTGGTTTCCAAGCCGGTGTTAGCAATGCTATTCAAATCTCCATGAGGTTTAGCTGTGATTTTTTGTCATTTCAGGAGTTAGTTTGCTTGCTTAAAGACAGATTAAAGTGATCAGCTAATTAGTAACGACAAGTAAAGTGGAAAACGTGGAGAGTCAGTGGCGGCTAAATGTTTAGCCCTGAACTAGTCAGACTTCTAGGATTGTACGTGTCCACATTAGGATCAGTTCACTAACAGTCCTCTAGTGAGTATCTCAACTTACTGTATGTGTAGCTACGGCAGTGATTATTGATTACTTAAGTGTAGACTAGTCCCACGACAAGCGATAAAAGCTGAAGCGCATGAACTTGTGTCAACACGTGTTTGGCAGTGAAGTGAACTGGACACATGTGGTGTGTGTGTGTTGTTGCAGGTGGAGAGGAGGCCTGCAGTCATGGCAGGCAGAGGCCGGGGAGTAGCTGCCTTCACCTTCAACATCGACGCTCTGGGCATCAGCAGGGGCAGCATGCCAGAAGCCAGGGTGGGGCCCAGTCCGCTGTTTCCAGTAAGTACCAAACACCCTGACACACAAATACTCAGTCACGATGACATATCACGTTTCAGTATATAAACTTTACCTTTACCTCATCAAAGTGCGTAAAATTCAGAAATGGTAGAATCCATGCATGAAACTTTAAAAGTAGATTTGTATTTTTTAGAAAAAACAAACACAACAATAAATAGATGTATGTATATGAAAAATGATGTTGTATTTGACTTAATGATAAAATAGTTTATTCTTCGTTATCTTGATATGCCTGCTTGAGAGCAGAGCATCCTTGCAGAACAAACTATAAGTTGTTCTGAGATGATACATTTATTGTTTTTCGCACAATGCAGCACATAAGGTGCAAAAATAGCCATGATTTTGGCATTTCTTTAAAGCAACTTGCCAAGTATTCATACCCACAGGGTTTTTAAGACCCCCTAGGGTTTCGTTTGCCCCACTTGGATTCTACAGGGATGTTCTGTGTCCATTTCTTGTTTACTCCTCATTTGGAGCGGCTGTATAATATACAGTATGTGCATCAAGGTAAGCACTTCAGTGTCCTTCATGTGGTCAAGAGTTTGCTCACCGTGACAAGTGGGACTCTCATTTTAACTTCAAGATTTTATTCATGGCTTTGAGGTGGGTATTGATTCTTTAAACCAAAAAGGTTGTACACCTTTACTTGGCAGGCTTAGATCCAACTTGGTTTACATTTTAATTGTCCTCTAGTCGAGTTTAGAATATGTTCGGTACAACTTGGTAATGTGGGATTTCATCGTACAGCATTTTATTATAAACAACAGATGTGATTGCAGTTTGGTGAAAACTGTAAAGTAGTCTGTTAGGCTTCAAGTGCCTTCATAATGTAACATGTTGCAAATGCCCCATAGTGTAAACCACAGACAAGCAAATGTACCAATGAAAAAGAAATGTAACTGTTATTATCACCATTACATTATCTATGCTTCTCCAGAGCACAGACTTTAAACCAGTCCCGCTGAAAGCTGGTGAAGACGAGGACTACATGCTGGCCTTAAAACAGGAGATGAGGGGAACAATGCAACGGCTGCCGCACAACATCAAGCTTCAGTCCAATAAATCAGGTGAGGACGAGAGGAGTGCATTAGATAGAAACCTGACATCTAATAGAAATGCTGCATCAAGGCTGCTGGCTGCTGTGAGGGAAGATAATGCAGCTTTTAGGAACTGAGACGTTTAATTAGGGTCATATCTAGAGAATGGAGAGTGGCTAAATTCATGGCAGAATATTGAGTTACAGCCTCTGCCTCATCTGCCAGTTTTAACATGGTTTCTTTGGTCTGGCATTACAGATCTTTCACAATTTCCTTTGCTCAGCCATGAGCTAAATATATCTGTAACAAGCAGCAGATTTGGTTTTTTTTTTACAGAATATCTTCTGTTGAATGTCATCAAATAGTTTGTATTCACAAAATAATTGGCAAAAAATAATTGCAATGCCAGGATTGTTATGAATCGTGTTTAAAACATCATATTGTTTTGCTTTTGACTGGCACATAATTCTATAGTCAATACATATCATGCTGTGATTTAATGCTGTGGCTAAGAATAAAGAGTAGCACTCAGTGGTTTGTGTTGAAACACTCTGGATTTTGATAAACTCAGAATATGATGTGAATCAGTTGTTAAGAGTTTATTGAAGCCGAACTTGCTCTTGTTTACATGAAACAGAAGTGGAGAAATATACTGAGCGATACCTGAAGCAAAGTCAGATTGAGGATGAAGAATGGACTCCAGGTACTTGAACAACTTGTTGTTATGGGATTAGAGCAAACTGAGGAAAAAATGGAAAACAATGTGAATGCTATTCTGTTTTTCTTTAGACTGGAACCTCTTTCCAAAAGAATTGATGCCACAAATTAAAAGAACTCGTGCTAAAGCAGGTATGTTAATGTCATTATTTATATAATGAGATTCTGTGACTGTATGAGTTAAGACAAAATGCTTAAATACAACAGGCACCAAGAAGAAAACAGTGAAGATATCACGCAAAGACACAGAGGACATGCTGAACAAGTTAGACGTAAGCTTCTCTTCACTTGATTGTTCCATGTACTGAGTATTCTATATATGCTGTTAATTTATCCATAACCATTTTTAAAGGCATCAAGCTGGTGCAAAAAATATGAGCTCAGGATGCATATGTAGAAAAATGTACATGTCCTTCTGAACTCCATAAATAATTGAATGTTAATATGTCAGGCACTAGCAAAGAAAGATGATGGAAACCCTGAAAATTCCGATGAAGAGACTGAAAAGAAACCCAAGAATGAGGAGGAAGAGGAAATTGAAGCAGAAGAATACGATGAAGAGGATATTGAAGAGGTTTGATAACTAATGATAATCTGAAAACTGTGTTTGGTTTTTGTGGAAAATCATATCGTCAACATGTAACAACCTACCCAATGTTGCACTACAAACGAATAATGTTTCCTATTTCTGCGCAGGAAAACGACTACATTGACAGCTATTTCGACAATGGAGAAGATTTTGCTGCAGGCAGCGATGACAACATGGACGGTGAAGCGACATACTGAGACAGACAGCGTGGCTCAGCCGTTCAAACTCAAGCAAGCATTGAATTAAACAGCCATTATGTGGTTGTCTCTATTGGTTAAATATTGTAAATACGTTGGGAAAACTTGTTTACAAGAGTGATGCTCTGTTTGCTTTATTTTTGTGTGATCTTAAGAAGTGAGCTCTGTTTGAAAAAAAAAATGTAAATAAGAAATGCAAAACTATGTGCACACTGGCAATAATTTATTCAAAATAGATGTATTTATTCTTCAGCCTGTAGACAGATTCCACAGGTTGAAAGGCACATACTGTCAACAACATGTAAATGCTTTGTCATAAAATATCAAGTGAACACAGTGATAAAATAAAAGGGCTATATACCAAAGTCTAAAATTTCACATAATTACAAATATGAGTCACTGTGGGAATACTGTGCATCTCCCATTTTTCTCACCATGCTCTTCGAGGTTTGTTTTTTTTCTTCTTTTTACAAAAAAAATGCAGTTTTCTCCAGGCAAGCTAAAAGCAAGGACAGATCCAAGCAACTTGAAATTCATAAACATAATTTATCTGATAATCAATACTGATAATGTAAGTAGAAATTAATGCTCAATCTTGAAATAAATTAATTCTAATTCAACACAGTGGCAGCAATCTTACTTTTCCAACAAACAATATTGGAAAATTCACTATATTACTAGTATGGCAAAAAAAAAATACAGCTGGTCCAAACCAAATCCACAGAATGAACGATTCACTGAAAAGGTGGCCACTGGACCATCATTGGATCAAATGAGACAAACTAGTGTTGGTATCTGTCTTGGTCTGTTTGTGTGCACCGTGGATGATGGCAAAAGCACCACCTAATTCTACTGGATACATGATTAAACTCTTGAAATTCATAAATTTTGAAAAAGTTCAACCTAGCCTAATATTTGTTAGTCAAACCAGACACAAATCTGGGACAGAGTTGGACCCATTTTTTTAGTCCTTCAGCACTTCTTGTTGAAAAGGATGTAAATGTAAATGTACAAACACAAGGAACAACTGTGGCCACACCCGTATTCCTCCTCTCCCAGTTCTTTAAAATGTCTGTTCCCACAACATCCCAGCCCGAAAGATTGCACTGATGTATGTAGCAATTACTCGAAAATGGGAACATCCATCAAGCTTTATTAGGTCTCTGAGTTAACAATTTGTATGTAAAATTAAAATCCCTTGCTATGTTTTCTCAAGCCCTCCATGGTTACCCACTCCTGCTTCGTTCAAATTGGGTTGTGGTGGGATTCCTTTGGCCACTTTTTCAGGTCCAGCTCCTGCAGATTTCTCTCCTTTAGCAGCAGGGTCCATCTTATTGACATTGACATTTTCATGAACTTCACCAGGACCTTGTGGAGGGTTGCTATGATGGCTGATGTCAGCTTTCACAAGAACCTCATAGTACAGCAGATAAAACACAGGTGTGACGATGCCAACAACCAGCATGATGGCCACAGCTGTCCACCACCTCATGCCCCAGTCTGCCCCATAATAAGGGTCCTTTCTCTGTGCTGGTTTATACTCAACTTCTCCTAGCAGTGGTTGCTGTTGCTGCAACGTTAGGGAGGACACAACCTCATTGAGGCTACTCCGAGATGGTCCTGTGGATTTCACCAGCCGCTCAATGTCCTTGTCCTTCTCCAGGAGGAATCCTTCCACACTGTCGGTAGAAGAAGACGAGTCTGTGGAAGACTCAGTGGGGAGGGATGTAACAGGTGAGATCTGGGGCAGGCGTCTAGTGCCGGTGGGGGAGGTGGGAGAGGCAGATTTGAGAGGACCAGTGCTATGAGTTTCGGTGAGGACGCTGAAGCGCCTCACGGGAATCTTAACTGAACGCAGAGCAAAGAAGTCTTGCTCTGTCAAGAGGTTGTTGGCACGCTTAATGTCAGCCACCTACAAAGCACACAGAAGAAAGAGGAATTTAATGAACTGCTTACAAACCACACAGACAGACAAAATGCTGGGAAATTTACCGCCCACTGACTTTTCTGGATTCTAGCTCAACCACTAAATAATAACAGATCCTTTTTCACATGCATATAACACACTGATTATATTCAACACTGTATAGATTTCAGGACATCTCTCGCACATCTTTTCTTCATAAATTGCAACGTATCAATAGTAGATCAAAAGTTCCAAACAGACCTCTGCACATTGTCTCATTAAATAGATATGCAGAGTACTTTTGTTTAGGCCAAAATATCAAAAAAGCAATGCCATGGTAATGCTGTTATCTTACACTCAGCATGCCATGTTTATATTCCACATAATAACTGTTTTGTTGTCGCATCTTAAAAGTCATAAACAGTAATAGCTGCTAGGGTCAAAGTATGTTCTGGCACACGTGTAATGTTAAAGATAAACAACGGCATGTCTAAACAGAAAAATTAGGGTTTCAGTGAATGCTTCCCACAAACAGCTTAGAAAGACACACAAATCTCAGCAAAGACGTACTGAACAATGGTACTGCAGGGCAATGCTGTTCAGGGTGTCCCCCTCCTGGATATCTCTGGTCAGGTAGATAATATCCATCCTCTCTCTGGATGTGCTCCTCCGCAGCCTCTCTCTGCCACGAGGTCGCAGCTCATAGCTTTCAGCATCCTCTTCTGACAGGTCATTCTCCGAGCCATTGTTTCCAAACAGGTAGGCATGACCGCCATTGGCAGGCTGCACCATGGTGGCTGACTGGAACCCATAGTGCTGGCTTCTAGTTGTCATGTTTCCTCACTATATTCTGGGGGAAAAAAACAAAAACATGTTTGAGTAGCAAATCCTGAATCTGTACAGCATAGTCTTTGGGCTACCATCAAGGTTGCTTCATCCATAAAAATAATATTTACTGAGACAAAGACAAAGGCTAATTTGTATTTGTTTGTGCAAGCAGACTTGACCTATTGCAACTTGACAGACGGGACGACATACATGCAGGTGACTATGTTATTGTTTTAGCCTGTCTTAAAAGCGCAAGTGGCTGTCTTTGGAGGGATTTATCCCCTAGTATACAGATGTGAAAAGAATATCAATAAAAGCTGGCCTGCAAGAACTTAAACTATATAAGACTGAACAGAACATTCCTTCCCTAAAAAATAGCAACAAAAAGGTGTAGATGGTGAAAAAAATCCTCTTACAATAACAAAACGTTTCTGGCAGGTAAACTAAAATGAAAAACACATCTGACAGTCCTGAGGATTCAAGTTACAGTCACCATCAGATTGTGCCTCTTGCAGTACGATCAGTACAGTCACTCATCTAGATGTCAAGGTCCTCTATTTACGTAACATCTCTGCTTCTTTTGTTCAGTCACAGGGACACCACCCAGAAACGTGAACGTGACATTTTATAAGGCAGCCGTACCTGGTATTCTTCTATCACTGTTATGATGCAACTGCTCCGAGCAAATTAAAAGCAGATTGACAACATTCCCTGGCCAACCTAAGATAATGTTAGCTAACGAAGCAGCAGCTATCACTGGAAGGTGTTAGCGACAAGCACACCTATGATCATCCTTATTCTCAAACGTGTAGGGTTGTAATTAATTAGCCACGCTAGCAAAGAGCTATGGTGGCTAAAATTCCGCTTACATACTACTGAACTAAGTGATTACCTATAAGACAACATACCAATGCTACAGTCTCGTCTCTCTCAGCCCATAAGAGTGCAGTCGAAGTGGCTAACCAATAGAAATAACTACGTAAGTTTAAAACACGTCTGTTTACGCCACTAAATCCTTATCTTACATTATCAGTTAACCGTGACGTTAATCTTGAACAAGACAAGTAATGTTGAGCGCAGGTCCAAAGTTTCTCAGATCTATCTTCATAGGCTAGGCTAACGCTAACTAGCGTCCACATATGTTGATGTAGCTGACGTTGGTGAGCTTTGTACTGTTCAGTTGGTCAGTGGTCACAGTTAACGAATACGTTTTCGGGAAGTCGCAGACAGCTGGGTTTACCTGAAAAAGTGACCACCCGCTCAGTCAGTTGTCCTCATAATTTCCATGCTTCCACGGGATTATCTTCGGGCTCACCTTGCGTTGGTGTCTTACCTGGCAGCTAGCTGCTGCTGCTACTGAACCGCTACGGCTCACGCCACGTCAACAGAATGCTTACGTAATGACGTTATCACTGCTGGCCCCAACGCACGAAGCCCAGTTTTAACCGCAAGATGGCGCTAAATGTCAAGTCACACTTTAGCAGGGAAAGCTGAGGATGGAGCCCTGTGTAGGCACATTGCTGTGGTATTATAACATAAATAACATTATATTAGGTGATATTATATCAGGTAAATTCTATTATTCATCAGATTAGCAAACACACAGCTCTCGCGTGCCTTGAGTTTGTGTCCCACAGTGTTGACTTTCATAACAAATGCCGTTGCCTAGCAACAGAGGCCCCGCCCACTGCAGAGAACGTGGACGGTTCTCTGCAGTGGGCGGGGCCTGTGAAGTGTCCATGACAGATGATGTCAAAAAGTTTCTTAAATGTGGCACACCAACAAGTCAGCTATCCCAGATTCTTCCCAGGTGATTTACTTATTTACAGAGTATCTCAACTGCAAGATTCGCGACATCCATTGACTGTCTGTTACTGAAGAACTTCTTCACAAGCAGCACTTGAGCACAGAAACCTAACAACACCTACTCAGGTTTAGTTTTCTGTACTTTACTTACAGTACCTTTGTTTTTACGCTGCAATGCCACAAAAGAGCCAGCAACGCAAATACGTCTCTCGCGGCGAGGCACGGCGTGAGGAAGCCGAGCAGGAACTCTGCTCACTTGGTAACCAGGACCAAATTAAGGAAAAGAAGCTGCACAATAAAGAGGCGGTGGATGACAAGGAGCAGCTTTACAAGGAAGTCCTCCGCAGCCGCAAGGAGGAAAGGTCCAAGTGGAAGGAGCATAAGAAGAACACGGAGAAACCGCTGGAGTCCAGCCCCGTGGAGGTGAAGGTCTCCACAGAGAACAAAAAGTCTCCCCTGGTGGCCAAAGAAGACGAAGACCTCCAGACAGAGCAGCTGGACCAACCCAAGCTGGAGACAGCTGACGTCAAAAGGCTGCAAGACCTGGAGCAGATGAACAAAACCCTCCAGGAAGAAAAGGCACTTCTGAAAAAGGAAAAGAAAGAAATGCAGGCAAAAATGGAAAACCTCGAGAGGCAGAATCAGGACCTGGAGATGAAAAAGGACCTGATAGAGGAAGAGTTGGCAAACCTGCAGCAGGGAGGCAGGGCGTTTCGAGAGGTGCCCAAAGAAACTCGCAGGGTGATCATGGAACTGCGGGAAGCCAACAAGGAAATCTAGGAGAAAAACAAGAAACTGGAGCAAGATCTGGAGGAAGAAACAAAGAAAGTGGAAAAGATTAGCAGCCAGGTGTATGGCAATAAATGGGAGATGGAACAGAAGCTGCTATCCCTCACTACCGACAAGAAGCAGCTAAAGTCCTCCAACAAGGCTCTGGAGAAACAAATTGAGCAGCTGACCGCAGAGACCGAAAGAATGGTGGAGGAGATACGGCTTCTGCAAGAACAGGACCAGAAGCATGAAGACTCCAAGGCAAAAGTGAAGGAGGCCTTCCTCAAACTTAAGATTAAACATAAGGATGAGAAGAAGGTCATTGAGGAGGAAAACCTGAAGCTTGGAGAGGAAAAAAAAGAACTGGAGATTAAGATCGCAGCCTTCCAAGAGCCCAACAATCAACTGGAGTCCTTCATCAAAGACCTCCAGGAGAAAATAGAAGAATTGGAGGGAAAAAATAAAAGCCTCCATGATGGAACTAAACAACTGGAGGCCAAAAATAATGACAGAAGGACAAAGAATTTCTGCGGGGGAAGAATGAAGACCTCAACAAGGTCAAACAAGTTCTGGAGGTGACCAACAAAGACCTCCAGAAGGACAAAGAAGGTCTGCAGGGGAAGAATGAAGACCTCGAAAAGGCCAAAGGACTTCTGGAGGCGACAAACAAAGACCTCCAGAAGGACAAAGACTTTCTTGAGCAGGCCCAGAAAGTGATGCAGCAGGAGATTCAAGTCCTGCTAGAAAAGAGCCAGGAAATGGAGGCATCACAGAAGATCCTGGAGAAGGCCAACAAGGCCTGCAGGAGCAGCTCATGAAAAAGCGCCAGAAGAAGAGATTCTTCGGTCTTTTCAGGAGCTGCGAGCAGAAGGAGGAGGACAAAAGGCTTAAGAGGGAAAAGAAAGAGAAGAAACAGCAGCAAAAAGAACAGCAGAGGCAGCAAAATGAGAGAGAGATGGACCAGAAGACAAGATCTGAAGGTAAGTCAGAAGAACCAAAAGTTGGGTGCTGCAGTTGGTTTCATTAAACCATCTGTATGCACCTTGAGGTGGAGAAAGATGGGACGCCTTCTATTGGTCTCCCATCTTTCTCCACCTCTCATCACTCGTCCATCTCCCCCCACCTCCAGTCATGCCTCCCATCGACCTCCCATCTCTCCCCCCTGAGGGCAGCACGGCGGCTACAGTGATTAGCATTGTAGCCGCACAGAAACACCTCCACGTGTTTCTGTGTGGAGTTGTGTGTTCTCCCCGTGTCTGCGTGGGTTTTCCCCGGGTTCTCCGGTTTCCTCCCACAGCACCAAAAAACCACAAACCCTGTTAGGCTAATTGGACACTCTAAATTGTCCCCAAA